TGCGCCCCATGCAGACCACAGGTGAGCAGAAGCTCTGTTTGAAATGCGTGGCCTACAGGACTTCAGAGGGAAGGTTGCAACCCAGGAGTCTGGATGTGAGTCCTACTTGTCACCCCTCCCCTCTCCCTGGTGGGCGGTGGCACTGGGGACCTCCTCTCCGTCCTGTGAGGGTGGAGGAGGGTTAGGAAAGCCAGGGTCCGCTTGTACCTGACCCGCCAGACATTTCACCCGGGAGGCCAGTGAGGGTTTGTCTGCTCTGTGCTGCTGTTGGCTGTTTTTGTAGTTAGTAGGGAATGAAAAACTGGAAATCTTAGAAGTTGACGGGAGCAGAAGGGAATTTCTTAAATCGATAAAAGAAGAGCATACTTAGAATCTGATCGCTGCATCATGGGGAGCGAGTCAGAGGCAGAGATGGAAACAGAGAGAGACAGAGAGGAAGAGAGACAGAGAAGAGGAGAGACAGAGCCCTAGCCAGCGCACTGGAATTTGTTTTGAAAACTCGGTTCCTTTGTGCAGCAGCGCTAGCTGAGGGATGCCCAGGAGAGTCAGTTCCGGTCCCGGCTGAGTTATGGAGAACTCACCTGCTCCCAGCTGTTTGTGCATCAGAGGTGTGCACACCTGCCTTGTCTGCCACACCTCGTCCGGTTCCCAGTCCCCCTGGAAAAGCGGTCCAGATGACGCTGAGAGACTTGTCCCCGGGCAAGCTCAGGCATTCGGTCTGCTGGCCCCACAGGCAGATGTAGAAGCTTGAATGATGATCTTTAAGCAGATGCCTCATCTCTTGCTCAAGAACTTTGTAAATGATCTGCCCGTTCCGCATAACTTTCTGATCGAAAGCTGAAAGTGCCTCCGCATGCTTTAGGGTGTAGAAGATGCGCTGCGTAGATTATTGTACATAAAAGGAATATTTTATGTATTTTAGACCTGGACTCACACTCTAAGTTAATCACAGGGCTTACTGCAGGGCCGCCCCTGAGCTGTCTGAGGTACTGGCGTATGTTTCAGGCTGCAGCCAGCTTGTCAATGAGCAGTTCCTAACTAGCTGTAAGAGAAATGGAAACCTGAAGTCATGACTACATGTTTTGGGGGAGAGAAAAGGAATTTGTATCAGTTGAGTGTCTGTGTTATTTTAGCAATGTTAAGGGAATTCTCCACATTTTCCCCACTTCTGAGCTTTTAAAATCTTTGAGACACGTTTCAAAGTCTTCAAACTTACTCTGACCCCTTGAAGCACTGACAGAGTTTACTTTATGGAGGTTTTTTTGGTTAAAAAGAATATATTCAACTATATGTCAATAAAACTGTTACTTAGAATAAAAATAAAAGACAATTTGGGGAAGAAAATTGGATAACATTTTGGGCTGACGACTGTTATGTCCCAGACATCCTACAAGGTGGTTTATCCCCACGCCCAGCTCCTGGCTGGTCCAACGCCTTTCCGACTCATGAAGACACAGGGCGCTGGTTTTCTTTTTTAAAAATATATTTTATTGATTTTTTTTACAGAGAGAAGGAGAGGGATAAAGAGTTAGAAACATTGATGAGAGAGACACATCGATTCAGCTGCCTCCTGTACACTCCCTACTGGGGATGTGCACGCAACCAAGGTACATGCCCTTGACCGGAATCGAACCTGGGACCCTTCAGTCCACAGGCTGACGCTCTATCCACTGAGCCAAACAGGTCAGGGCTGGACGCTGGTTTTCTTTAGCAAGTCCTGGGCTCACAGATACATTTTCATGATGTGGAAGGCACAGCAGTGCCCCTCCAAAGACTTCAGGCCCTCAGCCCTGGAACCTGTAAATGTTACCTTATTGGAGGAGAGAGTCTTTGCAGATGTGATTAAAATGAGGATCTTGAAATAGCGAGGCTGCTCTGGATTGTCAGGGTGGGCCCTGAGCGCCACGGCCTGTATCACAGGAGGGCAGCAGGGGTTACACACAGAGGAGGGATGTGAAGATGGAGCAGAGAGATTGGAAGATGTGGCCACAAGCCAACGAGTGCTGACAACCACCAACAGCTGGAAGGGCCAGGAAAGACTTCTCCCCATGAGCTGCTCGGGGGAGCCCAGCCCTGCTGATGCTTGATTCCCTGGTGACACTGACTTCGGACTCCTGGCCTCCAGAACTGTGAGAAAATACATTTCGGTCGTTTGCCCACTTGGTGGAACTTGAGACAGCAGCCACAGGGATCTCTTCAGACATCTCTCTCCTACAGCCACACCAACAGCTTCCTGGTGAAGAGGCAGCCAGTGTTCCGATTCTTCTCCCACTGAGGGCTGAGGCCGATCTGCACCCCCTTCGCCTCTGAGCTGGCCTCAGCTACTGACTGAACTCAAAGAATGCAGCAGGAGTGACGCTCTGGGCCTCCTAAAGCCGGTCGGAGCCTTGGAGACGTTGCCTGGGCTGGGGGAACCCAGCTCCAGCTCCGTTGCCGTGTGGGAGTCCAAGCAGCCCCTGGGAGAGAAACAAGCCCCCACCCAGCCTTCCCCCCAGCGAGCACCGAGCTGCCAGCCAGCAACTCACCAGCTTCGAGCCTGAGTCATCTTAGTCTTAGGCCAACTCGAGCACCCTCTGCTAGTTCTGTGTGGCGTCCACAAGCTGTCCCTGTCTGACTTGCCAGAACTGTGGAGTTGTGACCCAGATAAATAAGCAACCAGGTTTTGAGGGTAGTGTGTTATGCAACAAAAGATAGAACAAGCTGAGAAAAAGAATACGATGCCTGCTTCCCCCGCCCCCTTTCCTCAGTCTGATTAGTTGGCCTGGGCTAGGCTTGAGGCATTGGTATTTGCTAAAGTGCCCCCATGTAATGCTAGCGTGCATCTAGGTTGAGATCACTGACTCACAGAAAAATGTTGCCATTCTGGATAAAGAATTTTGCAGTGATACCAGCTTTTAAAATTTTTCAGACCTTTCCTACTTTAGCCATTGAGTGACCCAATTTTAACAGGTCACACCAGCGCTCTCTGCACATTCCTCAGCTCCCACGGAGGAGTTTTAGGGTGCAGGTTGTCATGTATTTTAATGCCTTGTTTTTGTTACCTTTTTTGTTTGTTTTATAGAATAGTGACATTTGTTTCTTGGATCATTCATCCCAAATAATAACTGACGGTGAACTTGCAAACCCCTCTATTTTGCTGACAATGGCAGGCGTGTTATCTGAGGTTATATGAACTATTTTTTATGCTAGACCCACTGCCTCTGAAAGAGTAGCCAAGGGTCCATGCTCCTGCCCCGCTGGGTCAGGGTGGACTCAGGCCCTAAGGGTTGTCAGCTGCCTTCATGGCTGCATCCCTAGCAGCACCCGGCAAACTCCCAAGGGGAT